TGTTGAGTATTTGTGTTTCACGAGTCAGTAAGGCTGGATGAATTCCAGAACATCTCCTCCCGGGAGCCACTCAGTCTGGCAGAGGGCGGGTCTGCCGCTCCAGTAGACTTGCTGGTCATCAAGCAACGGCTGCAACAGTGCCCGGGCAGCTGGAGTGTCACAGGGGGCGGAAATGCGGCCTGGGTGAATTGGCACTGGACGGTCAACCAAGTGCCGATTTTGGAAAGCGGGGTGAAGTTTCTGCGGGACGCAAAGTTCAGGGAGCCCACGGCCTTGAAGGTCACTGTCGTCGTCAGTGACAGCTTGAGCAACCCATGCAACGTCACGCACCGGGCGGGGTCCCTTTTGAGAAGGATCAGTCAGGAGGAGCTTCATCACGCGTGGATTCTGGCAACTTACCGCGATGTCAAGGATGGCAAGCTGGTTCAGGACAGAATGTGTTGACATGGTCCAACTCCATGCACATCTGTTTAAAGATGAAATGCGCTTGGCTTGGCTGACTCTATCCCATTTTTGAACTAATCATCCTTGTCAAGAGTCTGAGTCTGTGTCAGTCGTTGTAGTAATTTTCATCAGACGATGTTTTTCTGACTGCGGTGAGGTGTTAGTGCCTGTCAGGAATGGGTCAAGGCATGGCTCAGCAGCATCATCACTTACCAGGCCAGCCCCTCCGAGTCCGAGATTGACGCCTTCTGGCAGTCAGCCCAGATTCGAGAAGAGGTGGGTATTGACTTCGAGGGCACCTACTACTCTGTAGTCGCTGCCCCAGCGAAGTAATTTGATCTTAGGTCAGTCAGTGTCCCAGTGGCCCGCACACTGTCAAAATCTATCCGTCATCATGGCCGCTTGTTGTGGGAACTATGTTGGCCTCAGCCGCGGAACCAAGGTTCAGCGGCTCTTCCAAGTCGGGACGTACCGCGCCATGCTGGAGCGGCATAACAATGGCAAGAAGATCGGGGTGGAGCAGCTGTTCCGTGACTTCAGCAAGCTCACTGTCGCTGCTGGAGAGAAGATTACCATGAACTACCTCACCAGCGCAGCGTCCATCTTCAACAAATTCTTCGCCAGCAATGTGCTCAAGGACACCGCTTTTCCGTCGCAGGTCTGTCAAGCATGTTCATTGTCATTGTCGGGTGTGTCAATATTATGTGATACTGTCATGTCATCCAGTCATTGTCAGCCACCGCCACATCAGCCAGTATTTGCCAATGTCCTCAACTTGTCTGGCAGGAGATGGCCTTCCTGGCCGATGAGCTTTTCGGGAAGAGGACTCCGATAGATTCCGTCGCCAAGCTAGAGGACCTTATCAAAATCGCTCGCAGTGATGTGGAAAGCATCAGCTGGCTTTTCACGTCCTTGTGCGATTATGTGCTGAACGGGGTCTGCAAAGTCGCAGAAATGAACAGCTCAGCCCTGAGCGGAGGCAAGTCGAATCCGAAGGGGCTGCCTGGAAAAATATGTTTAGCTTGGCCGGCCGGTGTCAATCGTCAATGCCAACGTTGAACTTGTAATGTGTGTCAGGCTGCGTGTGATAGTTCATCTCAGGCTGTACCATGTTTGGCTGTGGAAGCGGGAGAATTTGTCGCTGTTGCTGGCAAAGATTGAGATGCACGTGGATCAGGAGGATGTTGCCATTATCAGGCCAGTAGTCGTAGTAGTAGCAGCTGAGGTTGTCCCCAATGATTGCCCGCCACTGTCCTGCCTCTTCTCAGAGTATGTTTCCCGTCGATTGTTGCAAGTCCGACAAGGTAAAGTGTCCCAACAATGTCCCAAAAGGCCCCTGCCCTGTTTTCATCACTCAAAAATAGACCCTTGCCAGGCGTGCCCTTGCCAGCCACACCGCCTACCGGGAGCACTTTGGCGGGTGGCCTTTCAACCGGGCCACTCTGACCCAGAGGTTGGAGGGAGCGACTAAACCCGCCCAGAACCTGTCCTGGCTTGGTGCCCTGAGTGCGGCCGGGCAGCTTGCTGCGAAGTTTGCTGCTGACATAGCCTACACGGCGAAGTGGGACGGCGTGCTGAAGGGATCAGTGCGGTGGGGGGCCAGTCTTCAGGAGTTCCTCGAGCACACTGATGTTGCGCCACTATGGTCGAAGGTGTCAGGCTCCGAGAAAAATGACGCCGTGCCCATGGCGGGCAATGACAGTTTTTTGCTGTCGGCTGACGAGCAGCTCGATTCGTTTGTCTCCTTTGTCGCCAGCGAGGCCAAGGTCACTGTCAAAGAAATGAAGGATGATGATGCGTTGCAGGTGCGGGATGCCGTCGACGAGTCGAAGACACTGGTGTCATCTCTCTTGTCAACTGTCGATGGGTCAGTGTCAAGCAGCTCGCCCTTGCCCTCCGTGCCCTGGAGGTGTCCAAGGTGCGTGGCAGCCCCAAAGCTGGCACTGTGCTGTTCTGGTATGACAACGAAAGCAGCGGCGAACAGAGCTCAGACCCAAGAGGTCGCTGACTCCGCTGAGGAGGGAACAGCTCGAGAAGACTATAATGGCTGCCATGTCGATCAGGGAGCCTGAGGCGCCCGACTGGGATGCAGATGAGGCCCCGGCGCTGTGCCCGCAAGCTTGTGATGTCTATATCTTCACTGATGGCGGGCGGTCCACGCATGGGACCAACTTCACGAGCATGTTCACCAAGACTGCCGGGAATGTGGCCCAAAGGCGGGTGAACTTAATCTACAGCGAAGAGGCCGTCACGGAGCACCGCAAGGCAGCCTGTGTTGTTTGCTTCTCCTTGTGATCTGTCCGTGTGCATCAATGCTGTCTGCAATGCTTGCATTCCCGTCTTGACAATGACTCAGCCTTTGGAGCGCGAGGCCCGTGCTGTGAGCGGTGGCGCCCGAGAAGAGCAAGAAGCAGGCCGTCAAGGGAAGCAACAAGAAACGCCGCAAGTCTCAGCAGGGCGGCAAGAAGACGGCCAGCAAGAAGCCGCGTGCCGAGGACGACAATGACGAGGAGGGCGGCCACGACGGCGAGGAGGGCGCCGGCGATAACATGTCCGACCTGGAGGCCTGCTTGGTTAATAAATTGATTGTGCTTGAAAGGCATGGTGTCCCATCTGTGCCTTGACACAGCCTTGTCGCCCAGGTGGCGGAGGAAGAGCTCAACTCGGAGGAGTGAGAGCGGGTCACTGTCTGAGTCTGAGCATTGTCGTTGTCATTGCATTGTCATTGTCCTGCCGCTTTCGGCTGATTTTGGAAATGCGTGCTGGGCATTGTACTGCCCCGGCGCTGGTGATTGTCGATGATCTTCAAGAGTCGGGTGAAAATGCGCTTGAAGAGCACAGCCGTTTGCTGGCTGCCAACTTGTCTAGCAGGCAGCGCAGGCCCTCGTGATGAATCCCTGAAAGCTGTAGCAGTCTCAAATCTGTCTTTTTTTTTGATTCGTAGTTCAACGTCATCAGCCCGAGGAATAACTCAAAAAGTCATGGCATTTGATAAGGGCCAGAACTGGCTTTACTTGCCAGCTGCAGATTGATAGAAGTAAAGAGCGGCACTGACACATTGTTCTGTTCACAGTGCTGGCGCCGTTCCTTCATTTGATTGTCAGTGTGACGAAGGCGATGTGTTGGTGTCCTTTCGGCCCCTATCAAGCTGTTGGAGGTTGGACCAGATTCACTTCCGGCTTGACATTGACATTGACATTGATGCATTGAATTTAGTTTTAGATTGAAACAAACTTGTGCGGCAGTGGCCAGCTGGCTTAGCCATCAGTCATTGTCCTGTTGTCGCCCACCACTGCCACCAATGACGCCTCTGGTGAAACAGCTGCACCTCAAGCAGCTTCGAAGCGACCGCCTTCAACTCTTGCTGAAGCCGGAGTTCCAGTCAGCAGGCCATAGCGACAGTGCTGATGCTGCCGAGCGGACAGTTGGTGACACCAACTGTGTCAATAAAGACCTGGCTGGGAACAGCCCAAAGCCTGACAACATCAAGCTTGTTGTTGCCAATGACACTGTCCTCCCAGACAGTGATGAAGAAACCTGGGTTTTGCCAGGTGCCAGCCCTTGAGTTGGCACGTGCGGGGGGAAAATCAGGCATGTGCTGCGCTCATTCGTTGTATAATCTTGGCCGTTGTGACTGTTTGAAATCATGGTGGAACATCGCGCCCTGTCACGGTGCGCGCAGGTGGCTTGATCTTACCGTCCTGAGCTCAGCTAGCCCACCAGCTTGCAAGCAGCTTTCAAGAAGCAATGTGCCTGCCGAATTGCCAGGCCAGCTGGTTTTCGCATTGGAAGGAAAATGCTAGTCCGGCTGCTCTGCGTGTCTGTGTGGGCAAGAGCATTTATCAAGCATGGTTGGTAGTTATTTGCTGGAGCTGAATGTCTGCACCACAGAGTTGATGATTGGGAATCATGTCACTGTCATTGTCACTGTCGCTGTTGTTGTTGTTGCCCCGTTCGGCTTAGCATACCACCGATGGCGATTGAAGTGCCAGAAGTAGACCTCGTTAATAGTGGGTTGACTTGCAACGTTGACTGACTGGGCACATCAAGCTTCCCAGGGTCAAGCCCGGGCGCTGCCACAGAGAAGCAACCAAGCCATGATGGAAGGTCAGTTGTCAGTGGCGCTCAGCTGCTTCACGAACCACAAATTGTCATTGTCCATAGCTGAATGGTCAAGTGAATTCGCCGCAGGTGAAGGCTGCCACAAACAGTGGGCAGCTACTTTGCAGTTTTGTTCTATGAGCATTGTCATCTTCACTGTGTCGTCAGTGTCATCACGGCTCATCTGGCGCGCAATTTGGCCATGACCGAATCTTCATCCATGCGCGGCTGGATGGTATTAAATTTTAAAGTTTACCATGTTCACATCCTGAGATGACACGAAAAATGTATCGTCGCCGATAAACCCTTCAAATATTAAATTACTCAATTAAACAATTTGAAAAGCATATTTCGCATGTCCTTAAGGAGCGCCCAGTATCGAAACCACCAATGAGAAGGACGCTGAACATGGTTTGGTGCACCTGGACGATCTTCCTTGCAGCCCTGACACTGAGGTGCATGACCCACCCAGATCGGGGCCCTGCGGGTCAAATGCCGAAGCTCAATTTCCACATGGACTTGCCAAAGACTGCGCCGGAATCCGTCAAGAGATATGGGCTCTAAAGGCGCGCGAGGTAGTGGTTTTAGGATTTTTTTGCGAGATCGCGCGATCCGCGAATTGGCTTCTGCGCGCTTTTGCCGCGCCGAATTTGCCTGGCGGCCCGTTGTCAGAGTCGCGCAAGCCAGATTTGCTTCGAAAAGAGAAGCCCCGTTTGGCTGTGATTGATTGCATGCCCTCTAGGGGCCCAAATTGGCAGCATACCGAGCTGGTATGACTGGCCGAAACGTCTCACAAGCTTGTGAATACCACAAGGTCAGCCATCATTTTTAGCGCAAAATGTAGTGCTCTGAGAAAGCTTGCTGCTGTGCCAAGTCTGTTGATGCTTTGGTAAGCAGCCTTGCTGATCATACTTCCGGCCGACTTATGCGGCTTCGCTTGGATTCCGCAATTGGTTTCTGGCTTCCGAGCAAAGCTCGGCGCAGGCACCAGATTCCCTAAAGCAGTGACTGGGAACTGGCAGGAACTTCTTTGCCAGGCCGTTTGGCCCGAATTGGCACATGGGTTCACCGCGGGCGTCACATTTGCATTGCGCAACCGAAATATACAAGGCTAGTGAAATGTGCTCAGTTTTGGTTCCATTCGTCCGAGGTCGAGGCACCACTGTCACTTGTTTTATGCAGAACTAGAACACAGAAGCCATGGATATTGACAGGAATGCACAGCTTCATTCGACTTGCAAAAACCGCCTGATGGCCAGAGAATGGATGTGTAAAAATTTAGGAAGCACACAAACACAAGGAGGAAACGAGCTGTCCTTTGCCGTTCTGCCGTTCGGGGCGCAAAATGGGATGCGCCCTATCGCTGACAGCTCTTGCGCTCGCGCACGCTCTGCCGGCCCGGGGGCCCGACTGAGAGGGCAGCTGCCAGCCTGCTGGATTCCATTGCTTTGGAGATGACCAAGCCTTAGCACTAAATGGGTGCGTCTTGCTTTTTGAGGGTACTGTACCTTTTTTGGGTGGTTTAAAGAGAAACCAGCAGGAAAACCTTATGTCTTTTGGTGGGCGGGGCGTTCTCCTAGAAAAACGACACGCCCAGATGAGACCCGAGCACTCAATTGGTTCGGTTGGTTTTCCTTTCGCAACCTGTTTGTCCTCCTAAGGCGTGAGGTCCGTTTCGGAGAAGTACAGGGACATCCCCTAGATGGGGGTCCTTTTGGTTTTCCAGGTCAAAAAGGTACCGCCACGCATGGTAAGCTTCTCAATGATAGAAATAACTTGTTTCCTTTGGTTGACCTTCATCTTTTTCATTGGCGTCAATGTGATCCAATGCTTGGCTGGTGCCACGCACAGTGGGCTTTGACGAATCAGCTCGCAGCTTTTGCATCATGCGCTTCACTCAACTTGGTGCTGACATTGAGTGTGGCTGAACGGTCCACTTAGGCTTGGGGTACTCTTTGGCTTTCTTGCTTGAACAAATGAGGAGATGGGCATGGTACCAGAAACCAACGAGCAAATGAGCAAGTTTGAAAGTTTCCAAGCTGTTCAGCCAATGAATTGCTTTGCCCACCTGTTTCTTGCCGACTCTGAGTTTTTCAGCTTTGCGCCTTGGATTTGGGCGTTGCGTTGAGCTGTGGCTGCACCGCTCTAAGGCAAGTGGCAAGGGGGGCACAACCGCCACCACCACTTCCACAGCACAGGCCGGTTCTTGCGGGTTCCAACTCCAATTGCCCCAAAAGGGTGCTCGAAAACGTCACCTTCCGTGTCTGGTCGTTCTGCGTTTTTGGGGAGACCGTTTTGGTGAAAAACAAACCCGTTCGTCCACTTTGCGACTCTCCTTTTGGCGTGGTGTTGTTCGGTTCGAAATTCGTGCAGGGCACCCTGTGGCTTGCATGTGCTCAAAGCCACCGATAGGCGGCTCGAGCATCCCGATGGCAGCTGGAGGCCCCTGGGGCCGATTGCCCATTCGGCCGAATCCGGAGACACGGGCGTCACGACTTGGGTTAGCCACTTAGAGACTTGGGGCTTTTAGAGTTTGTGTTTTTGGATTTTTCAGGCATCACATGTCCCAAAAAAGGATCAACAAATCACTAAAGGACCCTTCTTTTTGGCGCAATCCTACATTTCAAAGGCATGCTCAAGGTGTTCAGAGGTATGGATGCTTCTATAATCTTCTATTCCACCAACGTAAGCTTGCAAGGCAGTATGTACCCCTTACAGAAGTGGTATATAGCCTCCGTACCTGCAAACCTAGTATCTGAAATGCTTTTGTACCTTGCAGTGAGTATAAGTCATGAAGAAAGAGGGACTGGCATGATATATTTGACTGACAGACATGTCAGGGGGTGAAAATTATCCCGAGGTTGCGAGTCTCCGCCAAAAGAGAATGTTCATGTTTAAAGCAACGAGGGTCTATGAGTCCAGGATTCCCATCTGGAATCTGTGACAATGTGTCAGATGACCCAGCAAAGTTTGACATGTGGTGCCTCAAATTTGTCTGCCCTGTGTGTGCACTGATTTTTGCCTTGCTGGGCACTTTCAACTGACTTTAATCATTACTCTATGGAAAGTTCACTTACAAATGCAGACCAGAATCTAATACTATGTCATTGTTCAGTTGGATGCAAAAGCGGATGTAGACAACCATAAAGAACGGTTTCAACAAGTGTTCCTTTGACCTTATGCTGAGAAACCAGTTGGGCCCATCCAGTCCTTTTCTTACATCTCTGTGCAGAATTCTGGAGGGTCCCCGTTTCGCCATGCTTAAAAAAAAGAAGCAAACAGACAAAACTGGTTTCTTGTAGAGGATGAATGGGAAAACCAGCCCGCGCCAAGCGCCAGCCATCCATTCCCAGACTCGTTCTTTCGCCAGGTGGCTGCAGCGCTCCGCGCCTGCCGCACGGAGGCGGAGGCGGAGGCGGCGCTCCGAAGCGAGGCCCGGTCGAAGCTTGCGGCCGGTCGGAGGTGGGAATTGGAATCCACTTCTGTGATACAAAAAGGGATTCCCCAAGACTAGCCCCCCATAAAAAGGGGGGAGATTCCCTGGTATCACAGTGGGGATAAACCCCTTGATCCCACAGTCTTGGTAGCCGGTGTTCGTGAGTGCATACTGCGGCGGAAACCTCAGGGCTGCCTAGGAAAGGCATCGCGGAGGCAGAAGCACCGCCGCACTCGGCGGCCTCCCTCGTGTCAAGAAGGAGTGCAACAGTTTTTGTTTGTCCGGATGCGAAATTTCTGCTCGGGTGCCTGTCATGCACAAACTGTTCTGGGCAGGTTGTTCACTCTGTCTTTCCACCGCCTTTTGCGGTTAGGTTGTTTGCATGCAAGGTGTCTTTCGTCGGGCGATCGAATGACCTTTTCCAATCTTTTGATTCCACGACAAGAGGTGCCCTCCATTGTTGTATTTAGTGATACAATGTTCCATTGCTTCAAGTCGTGCTTGGCTAAGGTTCCATCCCTCGCTCGAAACCCACTGTGCCTTTGGTGCGTCTCTTTGCGCACATGCCGTGGATTAAATTTTAAGTCTATGTTTTGGCCTGGCCACAAATTTGCCGCACTTCGGCAAAAACCTCCCGGGTTTCCCACCCTGGGCACGGGTCCTTGCTCGGTTCGCGCATCAGCATTGGCCGGCAAAATACTGACGAGGCACAAGTGCATCGTTTTTGCAAGTTCAAGTGACATGTGGAGACTCTGCGGTGGAATGCCTGCATATTGCGTGCGCACAGGGAGACCAGCGAGGTCCTGCCGGTATATATCAAGAAAGGGCTGTCTGTCTGCTTGGTATATCGGGCATTGCCATGAGACATGAGTCACGATGGCAACTGCGCCGCATTTACACGGCGCACTGGCGTGCTCTGTCCTATGTTGCGTCACTTACTGACGCTGCAACCTTAATTAGCCTGGTCCGCTTCGAGGCCATCGTCTGATCAGCCTCGTGGAGGGTTCCGCAAACACAAGTTCCTCAACAAGTGGGCGCAGGACTGCAGAAGTGGCAAGCTGTCGAAGTCTTTGTGTAGGCCCGTTGCGCGGCACACCTTGTGCGGCATAGTGCTTTTGCAAGTCTGCAGAAAGGTGGCTTCTTCTGGCTCGCGCCATGGCTCCTAGGAATGGCTTTGAGTTTGAACATGCCTACCCTCCACGCAACGGTTTTCTTTTCACCATGTTACACTCCTAGGCTAGGCTCTTTCCATTGAGTTTGCAAGCCGTTTTGTGGGGTCACCAGGATGCAATTTTGAGGTACCTTCCTGGAGGTGTGAAGATAAAATGTGTGCTGCGGGACATGTTTTATTTGGGTTTGTTTGTAAATGACCCTACAACATGTGTGACGTTCCCTTGTTCCTTTGGACGGGTCCAACAAACCATGAGATCATGAATGTCAGCGTCCGATTTAATTAGGACCCTGATGTGGAGAATATATTCAAAACAGGGTGGAAATCCTCGGAAAAGTATGGTCCTCCGGATTCATCATACGTTAACGTTAATACGGGAGGTCCCTTCTAGGCAGCTTTCTGCAAGGAGGGTTCTTTGGGAGGAACTTTTGTTTCAAAGACTGGGTAGGTGGATGTTCACGCACCCATAATAATGGTTGATGGTCCCAGCAGGTTGTCGCAAGCCTGGTTTGGACCAGCGGTCGGAATGACAAGCTCACGGCATGACAAGTGCCCGGCTTTGTGTGAAGTCTTTCCTGGATTCGCACATCCAAATCAAGATGGGCTTGCGCTTGGTTGGATTAAGGAGTTGAGCTCGGAGCACAAAGAAGCAAGTACTGGGGAAGGTTTTGGAGGCAAAAATACGGGCGGAGGTTGAATAGCAGTTACACCAAACCTTCGCCATCCCCGCTTGTACCCCCCCCGCGCGGATCTCGTTTGCCCGAGCCCTGAAGCTTGTTTCCTGTTGGCTTCTCGATCTAACCAACCCCAAAGAGGCTACCTTTCGCCTCAAACAGATACACCCACATGTTGAAGCTGCCAGCTTCCATTTCGAGGCCGGAGTTTCTGCGGCTGACGGGGACCTCTTTGGGGAGGTGGAGAGGCTTGTCAGCCGCGAGCCCAAGGACCTGTTTGACCTCTCCCCACTTCTTCGTTTTTGGGGTACCTTTCGCTGGGGTTGATTGCGCTGGTTTGTTGTTTGTTGTGTCGTTGTTTTTGTATGTGTTATTTATTGATTTTTTGTTTTATTATTTATTTATTTATTTATTTATACATTTATTGATTATTTTTTTGTTTTGGGGGGTTACACGTGTGTGGTTGTTGTTTGTCATGGTTGATCAAGCAATAGACCAAGGGTTCACGCAAAGGATTCATGAATAGGTGTTTGAGGGTACCTTTTTGGGGTTTAAAGGGAATTGAAAAGAAACTGAACATTTATCCCCAATCTTGACAACCGCCAAACATGTTTCTGCACTTCACTTCGGTAGATTCCATGGGGCCTTGGCAACTGGCCTTAAGCCCAGCACGAATGGAACAACTATTATTCCTAGTTGGGGCAAAAACTGTAAGGGCCTGGTGCACAGGCCTTCTTCCCGAGAGGAAAAGAGCAGTTTCCTGAGGTCTATGCATCAAAACATGTTTGTTGGTGGGAGGAAAGGGTGAATTTTGCATTCTCTCCATCGATCATCATGGATTTGTGGAAAAGTGCCAATTCTTCCTGTGCCCCGCGCTACTGTTTGTGGGCAGTTGTTTTTTCTTTGTGGGAGCACAATCGCCTCTGAAACTAGAGACCCCTTCAGGGTGGCTGGTTTTCTTTTCGCTTTGACCATCCATGAAGGGGTCCTTAATTTGAGACACTGGCAAACCACCAGATGGCTTTGTGAGTGCGAGTGTGTGTGTGTGTGTGCGTCAAAATGGGGGACACGTTGGACTTTGGGAGACTTCCATTTGCTGAAATGAACATGTTTATTTTGCATTGCTGGTTTTCATAAGATTCTATCACTACTGAACATATGTTGTATGTTTTTGTTTGTTTTCAAGGGGCGAAGAAGGAAATGGAAGCAACGGTTTACTTTTGGCCATGTTACACTCCTAGGCTTTTTCCATTGAAGCCGGTTTTGTGGGGTCACAAGGATGGCTGGCAATTTTGAGGCACCTTCCTGGAGGTGTGACACGATGTGTAGGACATGTTTCTTGGGCTTTTTTTTAAATGCCCCCACAAAAATGTGTGACGTACCCTACAATGCTGTTTTTTTTTCCAAGGGGCGAAGCCGGGCAAATGGCAGGAGAGCTTCGGTTTTTGGGATGCGTGGCCTCTGCCCCCGCGGGCTTCCGACCGGACCTAGGCCGTGGTTGGTGGCGGGCGGCCCAAGCCGCGGTGCAGCAGGGGCACCAGCACCGGCCCGGAGACCAAGAGCTTCTGTCAAAGTGGCCTCAGGGCAATACCTAGTCTAGGTCCCCCTGCCAGGTGCCCTTTTTAACCCCCTTTCTTGGCTGGGAGGGTTCCCCTACTAACATAGACTACAGAAAAAAGTTCGTAGCCTCATTCTAATTTCTCTGCTGGAGGAGCTAGTAGTAAACTTGGGGGTTCCCAGCCATCCGCTTCCTTAGGTTGTCTGTGCGTTTGTGCATGTTTTAGTTGGTTTAGTGGTTGGATTGAACCCACTGGAAGTTAACCTTTTGGCAGGGGAGCTGAGGACAGACTAGTAAACATGTAGGAGCTGAACCTTTACATGAGACACAAGAGAAAACGGTACTACAAAGGTCTACCCTAACCGCAGGATAAATAATCGAAAGGGCAGATATCCGCAAATGTTGTTGGCCAATGTAATTTGCCACAACGCCCTGCCGAAAGACATCGCACACTCTTTCGACCATGGTGCCAGAACCCTAAAAGCCCTGAACTTCTCTAATAGCCGTAGACACCCCCCAAACCATAGCATACACCTAAACCCTGCAAAGCCAAAACCTAGTCACCCCAAACCCGTAACCTGCATGACAGAAGGCCTCACAGCTGACCTGGCGATGGTGGATCATGTTGGGACTGCGATTGTGGCTCTCTCTCTCTCTCTCTCTTTTTGCTGGTTCCCGGCAGGTAATGCAAAAAAGCCACTGTGGAAGTCTAGGGGGACACCCGCAACCAGAAATGGAGGGCCGCTCTCTCGTGATTCGCCACGTTCAGTTGGAAGCCAGAATCAGAATGGTTTTTGTTTGCCTTTTGGTGTTACTTGATAGGGGAGTCTCCTTTTGCCAGATCCCTGTGCTTATCCCCACTTAACTGCTAAGATTTAATTTTTTGCTCCCCTTCCAACGCCAACCAAGGTTTGGTTGCTTCTTAGTAGGGACATCTGCTGCAGGTTTGATCTCACTGCACCGGTGCGGCGTGCAGCCAAGAGCTGAGTCTGCATTGAGAGGGTGTAACCCCCAGCCAGCTGGCCACTTTGTCCACATTCGTCCTCTGCCCGGGCATTGTTTGGTCAGTCATTTAAGGCGGTTGTTGCTTCTGTGGATACTTTGAGTAGCCATGTGTTTGCCGGCAGGAGGAGTTGCAACAGTGGCTGCGTGGGTGAATTCCGACCTACTAAGTACCCCCCATTTGCCCAGGAGATCAAGTTCCTTGGACATGTTGTTTTTTTTGGTTTGGGCGGGGGGCACCTGAATGTGCAGAAGGGCAAGTTGACCGCTGGGTGGCCACATCCGAGCCTTGCCGCGGACAGACCCTTGCGATGCGCGCAGAAAGGAGTCTAGCGGAGATTCCTCTAAAAACTCTAGGGGTACCTTCCCCATTCTTTCCAGGCATCCTCCTTTCTAAAAATCCACCCAAAACCCTGGGGAAACAGCTGGTTGTTGGAAAGAACGACGGTTGAAAAGAATGGAAAAGGAAAGAGCCCCTGGAAAAACGCATGGTTCTCTTCGCAAAATTATCAATAGAGTGCAGGAGGAAGAAATACAACCCTATGGTTTGATCATAGTGCCGGCTTTCTTCGGGCAGTTGCCACGTAGGGCGAACGCCCCAGGTGGCCGGGGTGAAGCAAGAAGCCGATGCCGGGCGCTTACCTGATGAGCTGGTTCTGATTTTGCTCACGCAGGAACACCCTTATCCAAATGATTGTTTGCATACATCTCCTGAAGGTCCAACCTTTCTGGGTGTCCAATCTAGGTGGTTCCCAGCCATCCGGTTCCTTATGGTTTCTTCTCTCTTTTTTTTGGGTTTTTTAGTTGGTTTGGTGGCAGTTTCCACAAAACCACTAAAAGTTAGACACTTTTAGCAGGTGAGGACAGCCCGGCAATGAGAAGGCATACCCTTTTCCCCAAAATGAAGGTACACAGATTGGACAGTGGCTCAAATGTGATGAATCATTTGCCAGGGAGGAGGGTACATATGTTAAGCAATGTTTTGGAAGGGGTACATGTTTTAGGTGTCACGACCCCGAACGTGGCTCCTGCGAACGTGGCAAGGAGTTGATCAAAATCTCAGATCTCAACCATGGACGTCAGCCTGAGAAAACAAGAGCTTGGCGCCATTTCTCATGACGCGTCAGAAAGGTATGTGTCCTCATCCTTGAGGATTTGTAGAGTTGGCTCTCATTTTCCCCCGCTCGTGCGCAAAAAAAAGAATCGAATCGGCCAAGCCTTCGCTGCAGGAATTGGTGAGATGGCTGGATCCCAGCTATGCTCACCCTGCCGCCACGCCCATGGCCTTTCAATGGGCGCCTGGGAGGCATGAGCACCGATTTCCGGCCAGACTTCTTTGAGACATGGGGAAGAATGCAAATCTTGGTGGCTGCCAGCCATCCGGTGCCTTAGCTTTTCAGCTTCTTGGTGTTTAGTGGGATTTTCCGTTGAACCCACTAAAAGTTGTGAATTTTAGTTGGGGTCCACCACTTTTTAGGTGGTTCCCGGCCACCTGGGAAGAATGCACGTGTGTGGCGATGCTTGGTGTGCCAAGGCCCAAAATGCCTCGGTCGCGCTCTTACTCATCTCGCAGGTCACATGCAACTTTTGCACGCTTCCTCTTCTCAAGTTCAACTGGGCTTGATTGAGGCCGTGATGTTGTCGGCGAGGTTCTCTCACAAGTGGGAGGCGGGTCAGTCTCTTGCCTTTGTCAGGCGAGATCGGTGAGCGGAAGTAGAGCCAGGCGCCAGGGGCGAATCTGGCGGTCTACTCCACTGACAAGGGCCAGGGGCATGTGAACAAGGAGCGAGGGGCATGACGTTGCTTAGGGCAATCACACAGAAAGCGACTGCAGGTTGTGTTGGCTTTGAGGGTTTCCACTTTTCCTTTGAAAGACCGATTCGCCCTGTGATTGGTACCGCTCCGACCTCAGCACGGATGGGCGGCACATGGCCCAAAATCGCATGCGCCACCACTTGTAGAGGAACTCTCCGGGGGTGTGGGGGAACTCCAAAAAGCAAACACTCAGAAAATCGCATGTGGCCCTTTCTCTCCCCTTCTTGTGTTGGTTTTGGGTTCCCCTACTAAAATCGTCAAAACCGAAAAACAAATCGGGTACCAACTGATTCTACCCTCTCAAATCTGGAGGACCTTGCCAAACATGGTTCCCAACATGGAGCCCTGCGGTAAATGCGTGGACTCGCCATGGCCCCCACCTCCCATGGCTCGCGCCACCGCCAAATCGCCCGCACCGCCAGGAGCGCACGGAGGCCGCGGTGCGGCAGCTGCTCGCGGTGCAGATCCGACCAGACGGCCTCGAGGCCGAGATCTTGGCCAAGGCGCGGTCCCGGCCGCGCAGCTTGAGGCCGAGAGCTCTGCAGCTTGGAGCTCGCGGGGAAGTGGTGGGTATGAGTCAAAATCAAACCACCAGGAATTGGACCGCAGGTTTTAGTCTATGTTTCCATTTACCAGGCTTGTATTTTGGGGTACCTTTGTTTGGACCCCATACCCTGGTGGACAACAGGCTCAGAAGGGATCTGAGCGGTTTTTGCAGCCACTTTTAGTAGAGCTATTAGAGCTCCCAACAGGCTTAGTTGTTTGTTTGTAAGTGTTGGGCAAGTGAGTTTATCAAGCAATGGTTTTATTTGGTAGTTGTTTTTGTCCTGAACTGCACAGTGTTTGCTGTCCATCCACAGCATGGGGCCATGTTCAGTGACGTTTTTGAGGGTTCCTTTGTTGGGGGGTGGTCCTTTGGTTGAATGTCAAGGGTTGAAATTTGGTCAACGGCGTCCTTTGAGGGCGTTTCCAGGTATGGATGTTGGAGGTAGATGTATGTATACAATATCAAGCTTGTACCGCAGCATATATATATATATATATACCCCTTACACAAACTGGTGACAGAACCTCCCAACCCATACCTGACATTGCCCTTGACCTTTGGTCTCCCTGTTTGAGCATGTCTACCTCAAACTGCCAAGGGATTCCGGTGCGGTGATGTTGCTCTGCTTTCTGAAAGTGGGGGGGGCGCCCTGGATTGGTTTGAGAGGGCAAGGTTGGTGTAAGGCGAGGCGAAGTTCTTTCACTTTCTGCGTCTTGAGGCGAGTTGCAGGCTTGAACCGAACATGAATCTCCTGAAAACTGTTCGTGACCGGCCGATTCCCCGCGCTGCTCCCTATTGTAGGAGGAAGGAGCTGACGAAATTCTGGGGGTCCGTCAGAACTTTCCGAAGCAAGGGTTTATCGAGGCTGCCATCCCAGGGGGGGGTATCTTTGGGTATCATGCTTGTGGGGCGGGGGGGTGGGGATTTTAGCAGACCTGAAGTACAAGGCTGGACGCAAGGCATACATCAACTGTTCCTTTCACCCTTCCCCCCCCGGAAGAGTCTCTATAAACGAAGGCCTGGGGAAGACACTTGAACAAAATCGGGAGTGCAGAACAGACCTCTAAACAAAAGGGTTGACAACTTTCATTCTACCCCCAAAAAAGTCGGAGCAATCCTAAGGTGGGATTCAATCCAAAAGTTGATCGCAACCTGGCTATCTCACGGTTTCCCTTTCAGTGTGCCTTTGTAATTTGTGGTTTCCCAGGTCCAAATCGCTAATGAGGTGCAGAAAAGGGGCTGGCTGAATTTGGGTACCCTTTTTTAATTCCAATTTTCTTGGGTGCATTTTGCTGGGATGTTAGGACTTTAACTTTTTGCCAACTAATGGGTTTTCCATTTAACCACTAAAGGTTAAAGTTTGAGCAGGGGAGCAGACAGCAACCAAGTTTTGGAAGCCGACATCAAAGCCATTTTGGGGGTTCCGATTCCGGTTTTCAGACAAGCCCAAACCTACCCAGTGATCCTTTTTTCAGTGGGCAGCCAACAGAAATCACCCTTTTAATTTCAAAAGCCAAAGCAGCTCCTTTTGAAGGCACCAACTAGAGGGAGGCACTTCAAAATCCAAAAGGAGAATGGCAAAGGGTGACCCAACCACCCTCTAAAAACCTGTACACCAACTGGGAAAATGGCGAAGGGTGACCTTTTTCTCTTTCTCTTGGATCCCCATGGGAAATCCCCCATCCACAAAGTTTGACCCCTCATTTGTGGGGGCCTTTCCTGCAGAATTTCGATCTACCAAACCTCCACCTGCCAAATGGGAAAATTTTGCCAGGTGCAGAACAGCCGGAAGCGCTTCACGCTGAATCTGCAGCTCTTCGATGAGATCGTCGTCTCCGCCTCCGCCTGGTCCGTGGCCTTCCATAAGGCGCCAGGGGCTCAGGCGCCGCTTCAGCCGCTTGGACGGTGGGTGGGTCGGTCCCCGTTTTGTGGGGGAGCCCCCGGTTTGTCGTGTTGGCCCACTCCCCGAGTTTCTTGGACTTGAGCCACTTTTTTGGAGGGGGGGTGGACCGTTTTAGTGGTGAATGCCAAAGTTTGGTCGCTTTTTTGGGGGCCATCCGCTCGGAGAGTGAGTTGGGGTGGGTTTAAGGGGAAACTGAAGAAACCCAGCAGTTTGGATCTGCCCTTTTAGTTTCCTTTAACCACCAACAAACTGGGACCCCCCAATAAATACAGAGACCAACCCAAATCGATCAATCAATCCGACTGGGTTCAAACGCCTCCGAGGGCTGGCAGCATGCAGATGAGCCGCGGCGCGGAGATCCCGGAGCTCCACTTTCAGGCACGAATCGCGGGAATCGGAGGAGTCGACGTTTTAAGCACCGCGCAAACCATGTGAAAGTTGATCATGTTGATCAAAATTCCATGGGCCCCCAAATCACAGTGGGTAACTTGTCCTATTTAGTGGGGAATTGTGTTTTATTATCTTTTCAGTGGTTTTCCACAATGGTCATCCCACGTAAAGAACCTTTTTGATCAACCCCCATGTACTATATACCAACATGCGACCTATTTGGAGGGTAGATGTGGGTCAATATTGCATACACGGAGTTATACCTGGAGTCTCAGACTACCCTTTATTATTTGTTTGGGGAAAACTGTAAAGAATTGAGGGTCGAGGTACCAACATTTCACCCATAGGATAGATGTGGGTAAATAGTGTGGAGTGTGTGGGAATTATGGTTCATCCCGATGGAACAACCCTTATGATTGAGAAACATGTTTTTTTCGAAGGTGTGGCTTGGGGTTCCCTGAAAGCGTGTGGTATAGGGGCCATAGCTCTTTGGGCCGTTCCAAGATGATATCAAAACCATTGGCAATACAGGCATGCAATGTCAATGGCTTCCTTTGGGTTCCCAAGAAACCCTTCAGGCGAAATGTCAACTCGAGCCATAGCATCGCCATGGGTCAGCAAGCTAAAGTCACCCGCTTGATGCTTAGCCATCAGGTTCCTTAGGTTTTCAGCTTTTCAGTTGGTTTGGTGGATGGGTTTCCGAACTTCACCCACAAATTAGTACACTGTTCGCAGGGGATGAGTTTGGACAGGTTGGGTGGTTTTCCGACAATATGTGGGTGTGGGTCAAAATCAAACCACCAGGAATTGGACCGCAGGTTTTACTTCTTGGTTCCATTTGCCAGGGCAAGCCATTTTGGGGTTACCCCATTTTTGACCCGCAGCCATATCCCACAAGTTATTCACGTCTACCAGCCCCCTGAAAGCGGTGCGACTTTGAGCAAGCCGACCCGGATGGCCAGGTGCGGAAACGGTGGCCGGAGCAGCTTTGGCCACGGCCTTGGGCTTTGGGGAAGGGACCTACCTCAAATCATGGCGGGGTGAAGTGATTTGTGGGTTGAGGTGGGTGGTTTGTGTTTTTGCTTTTTTAATGGCGATTTGGGAACATATTTTTGGACTTTATACATATATATATATATATATTGTGGGGAGATGGATTTTTCATTGGACCCACAAAGCATGGACTTGTTTCCAAAATGTCGCTTTTCGAAGTGGATTTTCGATTGGACCCACAAGAATTCACTTTTTGCAGTGGGGTCGACAGCAACCAAGTGGTTTTTAAGCTTGTTTCGAGTTTGTGGCGCCTTTGCGAGGCCGCGACTCTCTCTGGAGGCGCATAGATCTTCAGATTTGGCCTCGGGTGTCAGAGGTGCACATTTTGGGGGAAGGGAAGCCCAAAGGAAAACCATCCCATACCCATAAAACATGTTTTTGTTGGGCTCTTATGGGTGTTTGGTTTGGCCAAAAGGCAAAAGAGAGAGTCAAAATGCAGGTTCGCAGTTGGAAAGACGAGGTCCCCAAGTGCACTTTTTGACCACAACCCTCCCATGAACAATGCGTTCAAGGCATCGGATTCTGCTCAAAAGGTATGTTGGACGACCATCGGATGACCTTCGGGGATTTCGGGTTGGTTTGGAGTATAGTGTGTTGTTTGCGTTGGGTGGTTGTGTGGTTCTTGTTTGTGTGTGTGTGTGTCGCTGGTTTGTTTGTTTGTTTCATTGGTTGTTTGTTTGTTTGGTTGGTTGTTTGTTTGTTGGTTTGATTGTTTGTTTGTTTGTTTGCGTGTGAATTTGTTTGTTTGTTTGTTTGTTTGTTTGTTTGGTTGTTTGTTTGTTTGTTTGTTTGTTTTGTGTATTTGTTTGTTTGTTTGTTTGTTTGTTTGTTTGTTTGTTTGTTTGTTTTGTGTATTTGTTTGTTTGTATTGCATGTTTTCGGGGTTGCTCGTGCCGAGGGTGAAGCGGGGCAAAGCGGGCTGACCTGCGGGCGAAGCGAAAGTAGCTTGGCTCGAGACAAGGATTAGGGGGAACTTGAGGTGTTTCTCATAGGGGTTCGGGAGGAGGGAGGGGAGGGGAAGGGAGCCCAAATAAGGCCTGAACAAGGTGTCGCGGGTTTTGCAAGTGAAGCAGCCGCAATGAAGGTGCATGTGTCCAAGGGGAACTTAGAAATCAGGTTCCTGCAAACGCGGAGCTGTTGCCAAGTTTGTGCACCAACAACAATGATAGAACCCTCCACAAAGAAGCCTGCAAACTGGGGGAACCTGACATGTTGAGAAAGCGTTGCGGGAAATTCTCAGGTTCCATGGTTCGACTGGAGGATCCTGTTGGCTTCATCCCAAAAAAAGACGGCGGAGGGGCCCCTCAATTTGGAGGACACCCGAGGAGATGAACCAACCAGAAGATACTTCTCCCAACTGCATTTTGGGGGGACATCAACTGTTGGGGGCCCTCCCATGTGCTTCCTGAGCATTGTTTAGTACCTCGAAGAGCTTTGCCGGCCCCAAGCTTGAGGTGTTTTCGTGGTGAAACATGACTAGGACTTTCCAGCGCCTCAAGTCTGATTTTGTTGCTTTGGGAAAGTTGCTGCAATATCTTTAAGGGAAAGTCTCGACTCTTCCTTTTGTGCGCCAGTTGAAGGATACAAGCAGCTCAGTCGCACGAGGTTCTTATTGCAGCTCCAGCGACTCCTGCGTGACTGCCTGCTCCCAGTGCCAGGCTTGCATGCGACTCTCCAGTTTGCCCTTTTGTCTTTTTTGGGTTCCCTTCACTGTCCCTGCTGACCAGCAAACAACGGTGCCGGGTGGGTTGGAATGGTCTAGTACTTTGGCCCTTCGGAATGGTTGTCCTGATCTCCGTTGAAAGCTTGTCATGCGGGGGCACATTCCCATTTAGGGTTTGTCAAGGGAAACTAGGAGGAAACCGATCATTTTGGGGGTTCCCCTAGACACACCCATTTGTGAATGCCCCATACAGTGTCCAGCGGAAAAATCATTTGAGGGACAAAATCCCGCAGTTGGTACAAGGGTTTTGCCCATCCTCAGTATTGTTGTGGGACAACCTCACGATTTGGTGAACGACCCCGCCAAGCAGTACAGGTTCCTTTTGGGGGAATTACATCTGCCATATTGGAAGGGTCAGGTGCAGTGACTGCCCCTCTGTCCGAAACAAGACCTAGATGATCACGCCGTTTTCCCTGGGTTTCCGGAGGTTTTCTAGAAAGAAGGATCCCTGGAAAGAATGGGGGAAGGTACCCCTAGAAGCATCCCCTTTGCTTGCCAATTAGTTTTCGGCGAGCTCGCCTGTGGCTTGAGCACGCCAGGGCTTCCCGGTGCAGTCCCAGCACTGCACCCGCCAGCTCAGCGAACTGCAGGCGACCGGCCTTTGTTCAAACCATTTGTTTCTTCCGTTGGCTGAAATGAAGACTTGTGTATTTTTCATTTTGGCTTTGAAAGAATCTATCACTCCTGATTTGTTGTCGATGTTTTTCCCAGTGTGCTTTGAATGGAAGGAGCCTTCCGTTTGCTTAAGATATATATATATACATGTATTGTCCCCTGTTGGTTTCAAGGGAATCTATCATTATTGGACGGATTTGTTCTTTTCTTGGGGGCTTAGGCTTAAGCATATGGAAGCTTTGGGTGCGTGCTTTTTGAAGGGTGTCAAAACGAAAGCTGCCTTTTTCACTTCTTCGGGGTGAAAGGCTGGTTTTGGGGGAACCCAGCGGGATTTCACGGGTTCCCCTGTGGCGCACTCCCGTTTGTGTCCCTCAACATTCCCTTGAGACTGGGTGATTGCCACACAATTTTTGGAGAGTTCCCTTTGTTTATGGTTAGTTTGAGGGTCCAGGTGTTTAAAAAAAATGGTTTCCCTTCAGGGTTGGTGTTTTTATCGAATTTCCCTTCAGCTTCGGATCAGGCTTCTGGCTTCTGGACGCATAGCTCCTTTGGCCGTGGGTAGGAAACTGGTCGGCGGCCAAAACGGTTTCGCTATGCAAAAAAAGTCTCTACCAAGTGCCAGGGTCGCATGGGAACGCCTGCATGGTCAATTTGGGGGATAGGGGCTCGGAAAAAATCAGCTCAGGTGATATCCCCAACAGCATGCGGTGCTCTTTTTAGTGCTCGCACCCTCGCAGAACCTCGTGGAACCCTCGTTTGTGGAACCCTCGTGGAACCCGGGTGGAACCTGGTGGAAATGTTGTGGAACCTTACCTCATGGCCGCCGCGGACCACCCCGGAGCCTATCTGGGCTGAGACCCCAAAGCTTTCAACTGTTGGGGAAAAAAGACTTCAGCAGGAGAACTCGCTAGAAACTGGCACTCAGGTAAACGTAGCGGAGGTGTCCCAATGGTCATGTGGCTTTGTTCTGGCTGCAGTTTCCGCGATCCTTTCAGAGATCCAACACAGGGCAGTTACTACTTCGTTTGTTCAGTTGGAAGAGCGGCAACTGGGTGTGGCTCAGAATCAAACAGCTGGGGTTCAGGTTTGAGTCTTTCCATGTCCCAGGCCAACCCATTTTGGGTACCTTCTTTTTGAGCCACAGCCAACTGCAAAGAGTGTAAAGGTTCTTCTTGGCAGCTGGGAACCTAACCTTGCGGAGCCTTCCCGCAAGCTGGCGGATGGGTAGCAAAAAACGGTGGGTGGTTTTCTGGTTCCCCTAGCCTTAAACAAACAAACGATGACCTTCCTGGGTCCTGGTGTTTGTCAAGTTGTTTTTTCAGAGTGTCGTAGATCGGTTGGCTGCTTGGGACTCACGTTAGGACACCTTACCGGAAAATAAAGATAGAAAGGGTGAACATGCACCCACCATGCTCCACCCTCGGTTCCAACAGACCCACCAGACTCACCACACCAGAGTTTGATTGAAATGAGAGTGGTACACTCAACGTAGGTTGTTGTTTGTATTAACTCCCTTCTTCTATTGCTGCCCAACATTGCCCAAAGAAGACGGTGGGTCTTCAGGAGTAATTGTGGGGGAATTCAACCATTGAGGGATCCTCGAGTAGCTTCCATTTGCTTAAGAATGTTGTTTTATTGTCCCACTGCTGGTTTTACATGGAATCTATCTACCGGACATATTTGCTCATTTTTTCCGGACAGGACAAACAAATGGAAGTGTTTGGTGTCCCGAATGGCTTACATTGTTTGATCCTAAGACAGACGTCAACCCAGTTCTTTAAGGGAAATCAAGCGGCGCAACTTCACGGCCACGCTGAGAGTAAGGTACCAGGAGAATTGTCTCCTACAGATGAACAGAGGGAGCCCAGAAAGCCATCCTTTGTGGAATCTCCTGGACCAGCTTGTTGGAACTGAAACTCGAAGTAAAAGGGTGTTCAAGGGAATCTACTTGAAATCTGTCCTTCTTGGACATATATATTTGCTATGTTTTTTGGGGGTTCGGAATCTTTCATTCTTGGAAACATGTTGCAGTGTTTTCCTGGGGGCTGAGGCAATTTGGAGGGCAAGGCACCTGGAAATGGCGCTCGCTTTTCCCAGTTCGCCAGGCGGACTTCACGGAGGCGTCCTTCCGGGACGAGGATGCTCGCGCGGAGGTCGTCGCCGGGCAGCTGCGCTGGGCAGCACGGGAGGAGCTGCTGCATGCGCAGGCGACGGAAATCCGCGTCCCCTGGAAGGGTGGGTTGGTGGCCAGTGGTTTGGAGGTCTGGTTGGCTAACTAGGTCCCCCAGTAGTACCCTTTTGCCCTTTTTTGGGGGGAGGGTTCCCCTACTAAAATAGACTACAGAAGAAGGGTACCCTTATTCCAACCTCTCTACTGGAGGACCTAGCTACCAAAAACCCCAGTTGGTTTCAAAAACCGGTTTGGGTTCCAAACCGCAAATCCAAACCACCAATGAAGGGAAAGCTGACCCTTTGGCCACAGGCATAGGCTGAAAACCCATCGTTTCAGTGTCTTTAATTGCTGGTTCGATAGGCAGGTAATGACTTGCTGGTGCGAGGGAAGGAGAAATGGAATGAACGGTTGGATGGTTTATGGTCATTCCATTTCTCATTCCCTGCTGAGCACCAGCAAGATCAGACATATTTTTTCCCCGAAGCAAACACCATCCCTCTTTTGGTTCCCTTTTGGCGGGAATCCAAAAGCGGTTCAATCCCAACACCCGGTCTCGTTTATTCCCTGAGCACGGGCAAGTTAGGCTTTTCCTGGTCCTGGAAAGTTGTATGGCCATGGTTTTTTGGATGGAACCCGTATTTGGACAGAAAAACAACGTCATATGGGTAGCCAGGGAGTAATGCGGATTCTAGTATGAACCATTATGAAGCATTCCGACTGTGTTTGTGTGTGTGTGTTACCGTTGAGTTTTGGGGGGGTACTTGCAATGGTAGGGGATTCTTAAACGATGGCTGTGGCAGGCCGTTGTTTATGAAGTCGAAGTAAAGGAGATGGAAAGGGTTTGGTCCCACTTTGCAACCAAGCAAATGCACCAAGAGGGTTGCGCTTTTGGCCAAGAGCACGCCAAAGCCCCCCGGTGTCGATGATGAGCTAGGCTTTCGCAGTCTGCTGGGCTGAGTCAGGGCGCATGCAGCCGAAGCACTTGGTGTCGCACCGAGCTCAAGTGGGGGAAGCGTCGAGTCCACAGTGCGGCGTTTGTTGTGTTCTCCCCCCGCAAACAACCGGCTCGTGTTTCCTCAAAAGGGGGGGGGTTCAGTCAGGGGTTCAGAACTTCTCCCACCGAGGTGGGGCTTGCAACTGGCAGATCCCTCGCCCTGGCTGCCAGTGCCCGAAACCTCCCTCAAAGGAACGCATTTGCTGCTGGCCGCGCACTCAGAAAGGCCAAACAGAAAGGACCCTCCAAGGAACCAAAGGGCAGGACCCACTGGAACCATTTGGGCCAAATGGGAGGACCCATTTGGTCAACGTGTGGCGGAACATTAGGGTAGGGAGCTGTGAAGCACCGTTTGCGACAATGAAGCCATTCAATACGGCCAGGTCGTGCTTGATTCGGTGCCAGCCGAGGACTGAGATCCAAAGCCCCGAAGCAGTCTTCTCTAAAGCTGGAACAGGGGTTCCAGGTTCCAAAATTATGTCCCCCAGTAGTGCGTGCCCTTTTACCCTTTTTTAGGGGAGGGTTCCCCTACTAAAACAAACTACAGGAAAAAGAATCAAACAAAAAAAAGAACAATCGGGTACCCTTATTCTAACCTCTGAAATCTGGAGGACCTAGAAAAGGAACCAGGGTTTGTTCCATGATCTGGAGACTAGCTCGTTCACGAGTTTTTTGCTCGGGTGCCCTGCGCAGGACGAGCTCTGCGCAGGGCACGTGGCCAGCAGCCCAGCGCTTCGCAGGGTCAGACGGTCAGTCTGCCAAGATGTGAGGCCGCAGCCGCTCGCGTGTCGGGCACTCAAGTGGTGTCTCACCTTCCGGAATAATTGTTCAATGCGCAACTAGGTCCCCCAGTGGTGCCCTGTTACCCTTCTTTTGGGGAGGGTTCCCCGACTAAAACAGACTACAGAAAAAACACGGTACCATTATATAGACAAGCCTTTCTGTGCGTTTCTTCTTTCGGCCACGGCGTTCAGCGTTTTGGAGCTGAAAGCCCGCACGTCTTTGCAGCAAATCTGGGTACCGAATGCAAGGACCGATCACTGGCGGCCGCTCGTGCACAAGGCGACCTTACTCTTTGAGGACTTCCGGAATGAACAAAACAAACTTTGACTTGTGGCTATGGGTCAAAATCAATCCACCAGGAGACCGCAGGTTTTAGTCGATGCTTCCATTCACCAGGGTTCCATTTGGGGGGCCTTACTTTTGACCCAGAGCCACTTGTGACTTGTTTTTGTGTTTCCCTTGGTCGACGTGTGGCATCTTTTTCGTTTGGGTCTCCTTTCAACATCTTCGGGTGTCCTTGGGCCTAGAAAAAAAGGGCTTGGGGCTTGGGGCTTCCTGCCTGAAAGGATCAGGATCCTCTTGCAGTCGCGGCCCCAGCGAGGTGCAATCATGGGCTGC